GTGTTCGATTAGTGTGTTGTTGTCGCTGGATGGTGGGTGTTAAACCACACAGACAACCAAACATGAGAATCCTCGGAACAGTTTGTGAGGTCTCAGGTAAAGCCACAGAGTTTCGAAACAAACATCTTGCAAACAAGTTAGAATTTTAAAGGGGATCTGTGACTTTATATAAGCACACACCCCTCCTCCAGTCCTAGATTTTCTATCACGACGTATCAAGGAGTAGCCATGTATTTGAACTGCGGCGTCGTCAATGTTTTCGTTTAGCCATGTTTCTGTGATAAAAGCCAAACTGGCATGATTTAATTTAAGAAGAGCATCTAATTCATCAACTTTCGGCAGAAGTGATCTGACATTTGAAAGCAAAAATGATAGTGGGTATCTTTGGACATTTGGGCAACCTAGTCTCCAATTTTTATGGTTCAATATAGGAATTTTTATCAAATTTTTCGTGGTTACGAACCTTTCGTTTGTATATGCAGGGGTACTGTTTAAACGATTATGCAAGTTAATTTGCCGTCTAGTTGTCCAAACTGGGATATTATTTGTTCTAGGTATTTGATCAGCCACGGGGTCAGTATATGAAATGCTTAGTCGGTTGTACTGCTCTATGGATGCGTGGGACGCGTCAAACGATTGACCAGATTTTCTTGTCTGATGGGTGGTAATTGTGGTAAAAGGAAGGGAAACTCCATCAATGGTCGGGGGTAAGAGGGGTGCTTGGGGCGTCGTATGATTTGACAAGCATTCGGTTGAATTGGGAATAAAAAAGGACTATAGTGTTGGTTTCAATTTAAACTTGGATGTAGAAAATCACAATTGCGCTGGTTTCGTTCAAGGTTTGGGTGAAGGAAGTCGCAATTTTCGCCTTTGAGACACCATCCCCTCCGTAACAGGAAAGGACAAGGAACGGTATTATTGGTTGGTTGGTCGACATGATGTTCCCGCGCTTTAGAATGTGTTTCTACATTTATGGTTGGAATTGGGTGAAGGAAGTCGCAATTTTCGCATTTGGGACACCAACCCCTTCGTGACAGGAAGGGACAAGGAATGGTATTTTTGATAGGTTGGTTAATAACATGATTTTTCCGTGCTTTAAAATGTGCTTCTACATTTATGGTTGAAATTGGGTAAAGGAAGTCACAATTTTCGCCTTTAAGACACCAACCCCTTCGTGACAAGAAGGGACAAGGAATGGTATTTTTGGTAGGTTGGTTGACTTGATTTTCCCGTGCTTTAGAATGTGATTCTACATTTATAGCTGAATCTGTTGTGCTAGTTATTTTATCAAGACAATCACTTTTTTCACTTGAGTGATTTTTGTCTGCCAAATTAGAATATTCAAATGTGGGTTTCACAATATGACCGTTGCGTAACATATAAATTTCTTTCTTGCAATATTCAAGTTGTTGACTAAACTCATCAAATTCGGCATTTATTTTGTTAAGGCGGTTATCAACATTATTTATACTATCTTTGTTTATGAGAATATCCCTTTCTGCAATTGTTATGTCGAGTTTAGCGCCTTCAGGTTCGACAGACAAGATCTGTGTTTTGAGAGGGGAGACGCCATTTTCGTCGCTTGTAGTTGTAGTTACAGCTTCGTTTGTCACTATGTTAGTCTGTACGCTACATATCAATGAGCATAACTTTGCTATTATTTGTTTCTTCTCTTTACCTTCAATTTGTAGAATTTTCTTACTTTTTCGCCATGATATAGATGTAGTACCATCGCTATATACTTTTTTCCTCTTCCCGGCGAAATCCAATTGCCGTCGTTTAATTTGATATTTTCGTTCACGAAGTGTTTTGTTCAATATTTCCAGTCCAGCACAACTGGAGTTCATATTTATAAAGGATTATAGCAAGATATTATAAAATTTTTGTCATAAAATTGGAATTTTACGGAGCTCGTGCAAACCGTGCTTGCTCCTGTATACACAACCAGCTCCCGCGGCAATCTGCCTCGCGATATAGGTTATGTGAGGTGACCATTATAGGTTATGTGAGGTGACCCATTTTAAGTTGTTACTAATTATTATGCCAAGGTCCTTTTGAGAAGATTTAAGGGTTATCAGTTCGTGGTTTAAACTGTGTTCGGGTGACTCAATTAGTCGTTTACGGGAGAATCTGATTCCAATGCATTTTTTGAGATTAAAGTTCAATTCTGAGGTAGAGGACCAATTGCAAAGGGAGTGCAGATCGGACTGAAGGAATTGAGTGTCATGTGACGTTTCTATGACTCAATAACATTTGCTGTCGTCGGCAAACATGGGTACTTTACTGTATTCAGCAGCGTCAGGGAGGTCGTTAACATAGACCAGGAAGAGTAGGAGGCCGACAATACTTCCTTGTGGAACTCCGGATGTCACATCAAGATAGCTCGACGAAACACCATCTACTACAACACGTTGTTTTCGTCCCAATAAATAGTCGTTATACCAGTGCAAAAGCCGTCCTGTTATTCCAAATTTTTTGAGTTTCACAATTAGTTTATCGTGGGGAAGTCAGAGTCAAACGCTTTTGAAAAGTCCAGATATATCATGTCAATTTATTTTCCAGAGTCTAATGCCTTACCAATATTGTGTACAACATCGAGTAGTTGGGTGATACAGGATCTCCCTGCACGAAAGCCATGTTGTTGGGAGTGGAGTAGAGGTTTGACGATATAGAGGGTTCGGGCGTGGACCGCGTGCTCAAGGACTTTAGACACAAGGGATAGTAAGGATATTGGGTGGTAGATGCTGATGATGCGAGTTTCTTTGGTTTTGGGAACGGGAACGATATTTGCATACTTCCACTCTGTAGGAACCTTACCCAAGGCTAACGACTTGTTGAATAGTTCAGTAAGGGATGGAGCAATAACGTCAGCGCACTCTTTCAATAATCTCGCAGATATCCCATCTGGACCCGTAGCTTTTCCTGTAGATAACGCAGATAACAGACTGAGGACTTCTTCAATGGAAACTGGAGTGAACTCGGTTGAGTTGTCAAATTCCGTGGTAGGAGTTGGAAGACATGGATTGTCGGGGCGAGGAAGAAACACGGAGGCAAAGAATTTATTAAAAGCATCTGCTTTAGCTTTTGAGGTGGTAAAAGATGAATCAGCAAGAGTCATGGTATCTGGTAGTGAATACTTGTTTGACTTAGATTTAAAAAATTTCCAAAATTCCTTGGGGTTTGTTGGTAATGTTTCTGCCAGATTCTTGATATATTCGCGTTTCTTGGTCTTGATTAGACTTTTAACAGTCCTGCGCTGATCCCGAAATTTTTCCCATAGCTCTACCGAGTCCGATTTCTTTGCCCGTTTTCTCGTAGTTTCTTTTTGGTGCAGGAGGTGAACTATCTCGCCTGTGAAGTAGGGTGGAGTATAGGATCGGGAGGTTTGTTTAGTTGGAATGAAAGTGTCTACGGCAGCAAGGAAGGTGTCGCACCATTTTGACCAAGCGATATCATGTTTTTGTGGCAAACATGCCCGGGTAGGGTCGGGGTTTATACACTTTAGAACCAATGTCAAATCAAATCTACCACTAAGTCCCGGGGTGGGGGGGGGGGGG